AACACACTTTCTAAAAAAAGCACTCTAATGTTAAACAATGTAATACAATAATGCCATCTAACTGGAGCAAACTTGTCTATTGAAACAAAGGTTCTGAATCCATTGGAAATTATTATATATGCATAATCTACTTACATGGAAGAGGAAGTCAGGGATGTCACTAATAGATCAGATCTGAGCTACCACAAACTTTGAACCAATCCATGAATCAGCAAGATAATCTCATTCAAAAAACCCCTGCATATTATCATACACTTCATAGTAAGAATGCTCTTTTAGAGCATCTTGCAAGAATGAGTTTTCTTAAAAGAAATTATCTCAAAATCAACCTTAACAGTATGTGGATTCCCTAGGTGTGAAATGGGGAAAGTTTTCCTGACTAAGAATGTTCTGAAATTCCCCAACAATGAATTTTGAAATGCAATAAATCAGAAATACCATTTTATTGCAACATATTAAGGTACATGTAAAAAAACCCTTTATACAAAAACCTGAAGGCTCAACCTTATAAAACTGTATGTGAAGTTTCCCACTCTCTCTCTAATTAATTCCAATGTCTTCAATTATGGCAACTGCAGTGGATAACTTTTTTTTTTTAAAGAAGAAGAAAGTAGTTAGGTCCAAACTGATACTTATTATCTATGTGGAGAAAGTAATTGGGACACACTCTTCATTTACCAGGTCATTAAACTTAGAACTATTGCAGCCCATGGCACATCTACTATACCACAATCCGCGATCAGTCAGAAAAATATTGTGCAAAACTAGGTATCATTGCTGATACACCACCAAGCCTTGCCCTCCTATAGACACTGCATAAAATACTGAAAACAGCAGGAAATTCAAGGCAGTAAGTCTTATGAAAAAACCCACAGCCCAGAGAATGAACTGAAACAGCAAGGGATAGAAGCATGCTTAAAACATACTGAAAAGATTATACTAACAAGAAGAAAGAGATAAAGACTACAGAGCAGTAAGACTTCAGAAGAACAGTCCAAAGTAACTGATTCTAAAAAGTTAAGAAACTGCATAACAGAACAACTAAAACAATGTAGAGTTACTAAGAATTACGGCATGTACTTGAAAGAGTCAGAAGAGCACCATAAAGTTGTATTTGCAAGTACTAAAAGTCTAATAAATGACTCAGTAGGATGCCAATCAGAAGCTACAATAGTGGGACCCAGAGGAAACAAATACATGTTAAGGGAAGAAACCCAACTCTTCAAAATAAGCAGAGCATTAACAGAAAAACATTTAAACAGGAGAAGAACCAAGCTTAACTTAGATATTTGTGTTGCTCAGAAAAAGGCAAATAAATGTTAGAAAAACATTTAACTAACAACAATCTTGATATGGTTGGTTAAAAACTGGAACTATGCTACAGTCCCCATAGGAAGTTAAGATTTGTTTTCATTTTGAATTAGTGTTGAAAATCTCCCCCACCAGCAACACAATGTAGAATTTGGAAAATATTATGTGTCAATTTGTTTTTAATTTATTCTTTAAAATATTCCAACACATTATGTTTTATTTTTTGTGCAAGGGCAGTTCTTTAACTAGACTATCTTCTTTAAACCACACTGAATGTTATGTTAAGAGGAAACACTGTGTTATCTTACAAAATGCTATGTGTAAACTAACCTGATGAAAGGACACAAATTCACTGCTAGAGTAAGTCAAAACTAATTTAAAATACGCAGTAACAACATGTCATGAACTGTCTACCTTCCTGGAAAAGAAAATCAAACACAGACCCTAAGTATGCTGATAAATATTTTCAAATCTGACAGGCAAAAGAGTAGACTCCTCAATCTAATCTTAAAATCAGACCTTCAATACACAGTTCAATTTTCAAGAGTTCTGTCATTCATAACTCCAACAAAAGTCAGGGACGAATATCTGTACAACTTTTAGCACATCTCAAAATCAATTCATTATTTTGGAAAACTGAAAATTATTTTTGTAGTTGATTTTTTAAAGTTCATAGGTTTCAAAATGCTAGCAAGATACTTTTCTTTAGAAAGAAGTAGGAAAAAAGTTCCATTTCAGTCAGATAGTCTGTAAAGTAAAAGCGTTTTTCTTCATATCTTTTATTATCTGAAAGGATATGTGCTAATTCGAGATTCAGTTATTTGGGGATAGAAGTCCCTATATCAGATTTTTATTGATACATACTGATGAAGATGATGTAGACTTTATGTGAAAGCAACTTGAGGATACTGTAAGCCTTAACCATGTTTGATTTTAAGACTTCACATTCACAATAGTCATGGTCCTAATGCAAATACCCATCTTTCCAAGATACATGAAGTTAAGAAAATAATCTTCCTTTGTTGCACTGCTAGACAAATCCAAGATTAATAAGAAGACAATTCATTCCCTATTGCCCATCCTGTCCAGAACTGAAAGACTTAAAGTTCCACCTCTTTTTCTTACATTGTGATCATCAATATGTCTGTTAGCATATCTGTTTACCTTCCAGATGGATGTAATAGTGTGGATTTTTTTCTGGGTGAAAGCTTCAAGCCTTGTACTCTCACCTCTTCATTTTGAATGTAACAAAAGAATTGACCTGTCGGTGTACAATGCCTTCAGTGTATTCTTGTGACTGATGAACTATCAACCTGCCCACAGAATACTACTTAAGAGTGCCTTTTTGAGTCCACTGAACAGAGTAGTAAATTAATGCACACCAATCTCATTAAGCTCTGCCCTACCAAAATCCTAAATCCATTGAGAAAGATATATTGCATAGAAAGAACCGAACTTGCGTGTTATTGTAGTAGACAGAGGTTTAGTGTTTTTCACAAGTAAGTCTGAGCCTCCATAGAAATCATAAACTGCAGTTTAATAATACACTAAACAGTCAGTACCAATTTTTGTATCATTATGGGTAAACTTTCTTGCAATCAGCAAGGAGATGGCTATCTTCATTTTATTATAAATATGAAAAGCAATGCTTAATTAAAATTCTTGAAAGGTCAAGGGAAGAAAAATGAAAATGAAAAATTAATGGAACAGTTTTGAATAAAGAAACCATTAAGATGCCAAGACTCTCTTCTATTAGTAGTAATTTCACTGATTTTCTTTTGATGCACACTTAAGCTTTCTCTTATAAAAAT